ACATCCTAGATGTTAAAAAGTAATTAAAATTTTGATCATGTCATCATCAAGTATAATCATCAAGCATTGTGTCATTTATGCATGTCATATTTCAACTATAGCATGTATATGTTACATATATTGTTTTTAAATGTAACATGAAATGTTATACATGATAGTGATTAAGGTTCTTTGTGAATTTTTGGAATGAGAATTTCTTAAACAATTAAAAATTTTCCAATATAAACTTTGATGTACAGCAAGTATCCAAGGTATGCCAATGTTTGGATGGGTTTTTAAATGCCTATCTTGATAAATGTCTAGACATCATATCTTGCATGGACGAATTCACTATTTACCATATACCACGGGAAGAGAATGCAAGGGCTAATGCTCTGGCACAACAAGTGTCTAGATGTAACATTCAGAAAAGAAATTTTCACGAAAGAAAGCCGACGCTTTACGAGGCCGAGGGTTATGTCCTGGAGGAACCGGTCCAACTGGCCTCCGAAACCGGTCCGACCGGTCCAGCCGGTCTGATCGCCCAGATAGCCGGTCTGACCGATCTGTCTGGTGAGGTTTCCACTTCGGCCATGGATTGCTCCAAACTTGCTAAGGATGAAGTGGATGTCTGGATAAAACCTCTGATTGATTATTTACAGAATCCTAAGTGTTCAGTTGATAGAAAAATCTGACAGTGGGCACTCAAGTTCACTTTGGTTGATGGTGAGTTATATCGTCGGATGGTCGATGGTTTACTTTTAAAATGCTTGGGTTCTAATCAGGCCAAAGTGGCTATGGCAGAGGTGCATGGAGGGATTTGTGGTATGCATCAATCGGCTCGTGTGATGAAGTGGCTCCTTAGGTGCGCTTGTTTTTATTGGCCCAATATGATAGCCGACTACTTTAGTTACTACAAAGGTTGCGAGGAGTGTCAGAAATTCGGGGATATTCAGTTGGTGCCCGCTTCAATGATGCACCCAATTATCAAACCGTGGCCATTTAGAGGATGGGGATTGGATTTTATTGGCAAGATTCATCCTTCTTCATCAAAGGGGCATTGTTTTGTGATTGTGGTTACCGATTACTTTACCAAGTGGACTGAAGCAATTCCCCTTAAGAACATGACACATCGAGAGGTGATTGAGTTCATTAAGGAGCATATTATACACAAATTTGGTATTCCACATACTTTAACTACAGATCAGGGAACTTCATTCATATCTAAAGAAGTGCGTGAGTTTGTGGAAGCTTAAGGCATTAAGTTGCTCAATTCATCTCCTTATTATGCTCAGGCTAATGGTCAAGCCGAGTCTAGCAACAAGATCTTAATTAAGCTCATCAAGAAGAAGATATAAGATAATCCTAAAAGATGGCATGAGGTATTATCTGAAGCTTTATGGGCTCATCGTATTTCTAGACATGGCGCTACTAAAGTTACTCTTTTGAGCTTGTCTATGGTCAAGAAGCCATTTTATCCGTTGAGGTAAATCTGGGTGCATATAGGTTGGCTAAGCAAAATGATCTTGATTTTGATACCTATTATGCTTTAATGATGGATAGTATTGATGAGGTGACCGACAAGCGAATGGAGGCTTTAGTTGAGATTGAAAAGGATAAAATTCATGTAGCTAGAGCATACAACAAAAAGGTTAAAGCCAAGGCATTTCAGGTAGGAGATCTGGTTTGGAAGACAATTCTACCAATAGGAACCAAGAACAATAAATTTGGAAAGTGGTCTCCAAGTTGGGAAGGGCCATATAAGATTACAAGTGTACTTCGTGGAAATTCCTATATGGTGGAGACATTGCATGGATTTCAGCTACCTAGAGGCCTGAATGGGAGGTGCTTGAAAAAGTATTATCCAAGTATTTGGCAAGATGCTTGAAGAAAATATGGCTGATATTTTGAAAATATCACCCTTAGAATAAATTGCCTGTGGAATTCATCGCCCTTAGAATAAATGGCCGGTGGAATTCATCGCCCTTAGGTTTATTTTATATCTTGGTACGGAAGCTTTACCAAGAAACATGGGGGCATGTGTTGCAGCCCAAAAGTGGCAGCAATGCCGACCAGGCTGGACCAGCCGATCAGACCAGTTTCTATGGGCGGTCTGTCCGGTCTGGTCGCTGTAGCTGGTCTGGCACGCGCCCACCGGTCAGACCGGTCGCCCAGAGTCCGAGACGAATTTAGGAGTCCTGGTCAAATTGGAGTTGAAACGGGACTTCCTTGGGGGAAAAAGACCTCCCACCCTCTAAATATAAAGGGCCCTGGCCGATTGAGAAAAACCAACCCAATCGACAAACACTTTTATCTACTTTTTATCTCCAAACCCTAGCTTTTCCAACCCCCTGCTTTCCTCCTTCGTCTCGACGGCAGTTGAAGACGTTCTGTGTGGCCTGCCGATCTCAGAGCAACCCTAAGTTCACCATCTCCGACGGGGTCCCTCCCGAGGTGGTGGACGTAGGTTTTTCGCGGTGCCCCTGTGCTGGACCGGCCTGCCTGATCCGTCTGACCGGTCAGGAGTAGGAGCTCCGACGATGTGACATCCTGTTCTACGCGCGAGCTAGCGCACTCGTGTGTTGGCCGAAAAAAGCGCCAACACATACCATGTGTCTTGAAGCTTTTAAACTTTGGTTAATTATTTATATCTCTAACAATCTAGAATTGTTTAGATTTTTTTTGGGAAATAAATTAAAGTAGTTCATGTAGAATCATAGTAATGTTTTAGACATACCAGCCGGAGTCTCACGCTTTGATGCTAATATAGGATATGGCAATGGCCCTGTTGTCCGAGGTGTGGCAATTTATCAACTCGTTAGGGCACGTACAACGGCCGTCTGTACCCCGTCTCGGAGACGTCCTTTTTGCGAAAAAGTCCTCGGCTCGGCTTGCAGACGCTCGTCCCGTCGCCTCGCGAGGCGACGGCACGGGCCCGTGCTCCGAGGCGGAACCAACGAGCGCAGCAGCGTTGTAGGCCTTCGTCTCCACGACTCGCCCCCACGCTCGGATCCCGCACGGCGCTCGCGAGGTTTCTTTGCGCGCCAAGTCCAGAGCAACCACTGGCTAGAAACAGCGCGAGGGCGCGGCGACGACGGGGGTCAATCTCCGGAGGTGGTGGCGGCTTCCTCCATGGGTGCTCAGACCCGCGAGATCGGATCTCCATGACTCGGGTCTGGCGTCAGCGCCGGCGTGGGCGTGGAGTCCTCGCCGCCGGGCCTGCTGTTGCCCATGCCCGTCCACCGAGTGCGGCTCAGCAAGTCAGCATCGAGCGGTGCCGTGAGATCTCCAACATCCACGACGAGCTGCTCGCCAGAAGTGCCCCAGCCTTTTCTGCATCGACATCTCCTACCTCAAGGTTCTCGTTGTTTTGGTCTCTTCGGTTAGTAGCATCAGTAGGACTGAGAAAAGGTTGAGATTGCTTTTCTAATCAATTGATACTGAGACATGCGGTGGAGTGCAAGCCCGAGAGGGAGGGTAGCGACAAGAAAGAGGATTTCTACTGGCCTCTGATCTCAGTTTGTTTATTCAGAGTTTTAGAGAGTTTGCCTATGTCATCTCTCAGTTTGTTTATTGGGATGAGAGCAAAACTATACACTGATATGTAATGTCCCCTCACTGATATGCTTGAAGGGAGAAGAGGCCATGGAATTTTTCCACAATGCAACCATGTCAATCTTACAGTCAGAGAAGACCTATTGTTGATGAAAAATCAAATGCTTGTGCTTGCTTGACCATAATGGTGTTGATGTTAAGCCAGGAAATGAGAATTGAGCTTCAGCTGTTTGGTGACTTAAATTTTTGAGGTATATATTACTGACTTTATGTCAACAATTGTTCTCTAAAAAAATTCTATCAACAATTAGGCTCTGTCTTGGTGCTGCCCTGTTTTTTGGCAGTCACTGTATTTTCCATATGCAATATGCAGAATGAACAATAGTATCAACTGTCATGGGCTTTGACAGGCATATATCCTACCGTTTAACCATATCATGAATGTGAATCATATCTGCATGTTTTTTTAGCGAAACCATCTTTTAGTTGTCACACAAACTGAGATCACTGTCTATTTATATACAATATAAAAGATTTATATTGATTAATATATATTATAGCCCTGTTCGCTGGGAGGAATTTGGAGGAATCTGAATGAACCTGGAGGAATTTGTGAGAGAGTGAACAGTGTTTTTCAGCCGGGAACAGTGAATTCCGGCTGAAAAACTGACCAGCCAAACTGCCCCTATATATGATTTATATTGACGGTTTTAAAAATATTGTTATCATGATTATCTTATTTATGTTTGATCTGTTTTCTGCCAAATAGGTATATAAAATAGTGTTCATGATTGATCTTAGCTACATGCAAAGCATTAAACAGCTTGCAGACAGTGAAACACGCTCTTCATTGTATGATCTGTCTTTCTAGCTGTCTATATGTCAGATTTGATGCATTTGCAGACGACCACCTTCTGTGGGTTGTACATGCCCTTATCTGTCCCTTTGGAACTCCCATCATCACTAGTGATGCTGTCAATACTATACACACGCATTTTGGAAATGTGTACGTACACGTACACATATCTACATCCGGCGATAAGCCTTTTAAACTTTTGGTTTAACTGCATTTTAAAACATTTTGATTGGAAATACAAAAAAAAATCTCTATATTCATTTTGGAAAAGAAAACAAAAATTTGCGCATAAACATAGTTGGGCTGGCACACTAACCCAATATGTTGCAACTTGCCGGGACAATACAAGCAGGAGTGCAACGGCTGCACGTCTCCTACTACTACGACGTCTCCTATCCGACGAATCAACAAGTGCGGTGCTGGTACCTCTCCAAGCACGTTGGCAGCAGCCAGGCCGACCGAGACGTCTCCACTGATCTCCTGCTAGCCCTTTAAAAGCCGAGCCTGCAGGACACTTCGCCTCCACAGCTGCAAGATCATATCAGAGGAGAAACAACTAGCAGCTAGCTCTCTGATCTTTGTACTTATAACGTGTTGCAAATACACGCTCATGGCAGCGACGCGAGCGTGCTTGGTCGCGCTCGCCGTGGCTCTCGCGTTTCTCCTCTTGGAGGGGCCAACAATGGCAGCGGCGTTGGGGACTGCCGGAGGATCGTCGGAAGAGCACCTGAGGCAGGTGCGAAGCTTCCTCAGGCGGGTCAACAAGGCTCCTGTCACCAGCATTCAGGTATTGGAATCTTAAATTCGTAATGGGAAGAATGTATATACACGCAGAAACCACTACTGCAGAAACTCTCATACGTGTCGTCGGTTACGCAAATGAGAAGTATGAAAACTGACATGGTTACATCGAGTGTCTATGCCGGCCGGCTGCACAGCCGGCAGATATGCAAGTCATCCGTGCTGTTCAGTGACGGATAGTCGGACCAAAATTTGATGAAAGAAAATAGAGAAAAAAAAACACCCCAGACTTACCCACATGATGATTACCCCACCCCTCGTATATATATGCCCCTTCTTATGATCTCAGTTATACTTCATTGTTGATGCAACAGGTAGTTTTTTTTTTCCTTAGGACTCTTGTTGTCTAAAACATTTGTCAATTATTTATACATCTCACTCTACTTCAAATAAAAAATTTCAAACTTCCAATTTTCATATAAAGTCTGTCTCCATCCGGGCAAGTTATAAATGCTTGAAAGAAACAGAAATTCAAATTACTTGCACAGGAAAAGCATTCGTGCTTGTTCAAATATAAAGGTGGATCCTTGTTGGTAGAGGCCAAAGCACCGCTTGCAGATTGCCATTATTTACGCTCAAGTTTACATGGATGGGCTGCGGCTTTTGTTATCAAAAGTACGAATATGATTTGGTCAGAAAGATAAGTTTGTGAAATATATAGACCAAATCAGATCAAGACCTTTTCTGTATTTTTGGAGAACACGGACAACATCTACAATATCAAATTTGTTTCATTGAACTCACCATGGAATATATTTTATAGTGCATATATTTGGTAGTATAGATGTTATACTTTTCTATAAACTTGATCAAAGTTAGAGAAGTTTGAGTTAGGACAAACCTAATGTGATGTGTTAAAAAACTAGAGGGAGTATGTCTCTTCTCAAATCCGGAGCTGTGCACATATGCACGGCTTTATGGACTTATTATAATAACAAAAGGTCATGGCCAATTGAAATTGCACACAGTTGCGAAACATAATCGCATTTTTTCAACTACTGATTCTGAGAAATTAACAGAGCCCAGATGGAGATATCATAGACTGTGTGCCCATCTCCAAACAGCCTGCATTCGATCATCCTCTCCTGAAGAACCATACCATACAGGTTCGTCTCTGCAGCAATATTGCCCTTTTCATTTCACTGTTGGGTGGACGTACACATCCTACCGCACAATCACATGTATAATGATGCTCCACACCATCACCTTTCAGCTGCAGCCTTCTTACCATCCTAGAGGTCAGTATGGTGACTCCAACATTGCACCTCATCCAATCACCCAAGCATGGCACCAGAATGGCAAGTGCCCTGAGAACACCGTACCAATCCGAAGGACAAAGGAGGAGGATGTCCTGAGGGCCAGCCATGTCAATTTGTATGGAAAGAAGAGGCCCAACAGCATACCAAATATCCACCCTGAAACTAGTGTGACGAGTGGCCATGAGGTACAAAACATCATTCAAAAATCACCTTCATTTTATTACTAACTAATCTTCCACTTGGATTTTTTTTATATTACTGCTTTAACTTTTTTTTTCTCCCATCGAGCAGTATGCTGTAGCATCTTCAGCAGATGGCCAATACTATGGAACTCAAATTGATATAAATCTGTGGAAACCAATGACCGAGACAGCCCAAGACTTCAGCTTGACCCAACTCTGGACCGTTGCAGGGTCCTATGCCAACAACGATCTCAATACCATTGAAGTAGGATGGCAGGTGAGACTTCTAAGGGAAAAATTAAACACACTTTCATATGAGTTCACTGGTTGTTGCACTAAGTTGTGCATTCTGTAACATTGTGGCTGATGGATTTGTGCTCTCTTTAATATTTCAGGTTTACCAAAATTTCTATGGGGATAACAATCCTAGACTCTTCATCTACTGGACTGTAAGATAAACCTCACATTCATTTATCTTCATTAGTAATATTGACCTTTAATTTTATATTAAGTTGGGACATAAAGGTACTAATTTCTATTACTATGCAATATATTGTAGCGTGATGCGTATCGAACAACAGGATGCTACAATCTAGGGTGCTCAGGATTCGTCCAGACAAACAATCAGATTGCTGTCGGTGGTACCCTCTCCCCTCAGTCTGTCTATGGTGGCTCACAATACGAAATATGTATTCTAGTTTGGAAGGTAAAACACAAAGAATGTTCACATTCTGAACATAAAATAAAGTTCACGAATGCTCACCATTTTAATACTAGTTGTCCCTATTGTGCTAGAGATTTCTCCATAAATGCAACACTGTCAAGTTAGCCTTTTTAGCAAAGCTTCAAAGGAATCTTTATCTTAGTATTCTACAAGGACCTAGTGTTGCAATTCTGGCCCAATTGCTATATCTCAATCATAATCAGGTCTCCTGAATTGTCCTGTAAATTTTGCTTGCAGGACCCAAACACGGGCAACTGGTGGTTGCAAGTAGGAGGCACTAATATGGGCTATTGGCCATCATCCATCTTCACCCACTTGAAAAACAGTGCCTCCAATGTTCAGTGGGGTGGCGAGGTGTTCTCGTCTAGCGCCGGTCAAACTTCGACAGACATGGGCAGTGGACACTTCCCTGGGGAAGGGTTTGGCAAGGCCAGCTACATCAGGAACATCCAAGTGGTAGATTCATCCAACTATCTCAGACAAGCAAGTGGTTTGGGCTTCATAACAAGTCCGTCGCCCAGCTGCTATAACGTGCAGAGTGGCACCAGTAGCAACGACTGGGGCACATACATCTTTTATGGAGGACCTGGGAGGAACCCTAACTGCCCATAGTAATCCTTGAATTACTTTACAGCCCAAAAATCTCCTAAATACAAGACGAATACTCCTTTGGCAATGCATAATGCATTGCTAGAGGCCCAATAAAGTATTGTAGGGTTACTTCCACAAGAAGTGTATCGAATAAGGAGCTTCCATCGTTTGTTATTACAACTGTATCTGCACTGCGGATAAGTGTATTGTCAAGACATACTACATCCATGAGCATAGACACAGGATCTTTAGAGCTCAAAATAACTACTTCCATGAAATAAATAAATGTGATTGTGTACTCAGTTTTTTCCTTGTCCATGGAACATTAATTTTTCTCTGTGAAACATTTTTTCTTGGGAGTTTTGGAGAAAAACTGTCTTAATTGAGAGTTGGCCTCAACCATGCCAGCTTGGGTCAGCTCGTCTAGGCTCAGCACAACGTTTTCAGAGTTATCAGGTTAGTGCTGAGATCAACACATGACATTGATCGATGCCACTAGGCTGGTTTGTATTCAATGGACGACCACTGTCCACTGGGGTGCAGTGCAGCAAACTTTGATTTCTGTGTATTGTCACTACCGGAAACAGTAGAATTGCCGAGTGCCTAAGGGTTTACCGAGTGCATTCCATCAGACACTCGGCAAACATCAAGGTTGAAGGGGGACCGTGACGCCTAAGAAGGGGGAGTGAATTAGGCAACTTAAAAATCTAACTCTAAACTATGACCTCTTTTTCTACCCTTAACAAAACATATGTAAAAGATAAACTATTTAAAAGTGCAACTACGGTTTTATTAGTGTATTGCTATCTCTACCGCAAAAGGAGTAAAGCAATCAAGGTAAATGCGGAAGCTAAAGAGCAAGGTAAAGATATGCAAACTCCGTCGACGACTCCGGTATTTTTACCGAGGTATCGAGAAGCGCGCAAGCTTCCCCCTAGTCCTCGTTGCAGCCCCTCGCAAGGAATCCCTCGCAAGGGCCAAGCTCCCGGTCGGGTAACTCCGTGGATAGTCTCGGGCCTTTCCCACGCGCAAGTGGGTCTCCGACGTGCCTTCCGGCAAGCCTCTCCCGGATGCTCCCCGCCGTCTTCACTATCAAGCTTCCAGCCAAAACGTCACGGGCCTTGTTCCCTCCGGTACACGGTGGCGGCCACAACACAAACGCGCTTGGTGTGATCTCGCAAGACTACAAGCCCCTCCGATGTACAACAATAATGCGTGCAAGCACCGGGTGGTAAGAGGTATGCAAACCTCACTAAACACTAGACCTAAACCTAGAGCAAGCGCATAAGCGGTGGTATAATCAACCTAAACACTTCGCAAAGCACCTACGTTAATCACCTAATGAAACACTAAGCACTATGCATGTGGAGATCACTAAAATTGTATATCAACACCCTTGATATGTTTCCTCAGCTCCACACCACCTCAAATGGCTGGTTGGGGGTTGTATTTATAAGCCCCACTGAAAAAGTAGCCGTTGGGGACGAAATCCCACTTTTCTGCTACTGACCGGACGCTGATCACGTCCTGACCGGACGCGTCCGGTCGTCCCGGCCGTTGAAGCCATGAACAACTGATCGGACGCTACCAACGTCCGGTCACCTGCCACCGGATGCGTCCGGTCACAGTTTCGCAGCTCTGGAACCTCTCTGTACTTGACTGGACTCTGTTATCCTGCGTCCGGTCGATCTGCCGCCAGCGTCCAGTCCAGCGTTCGGTCACGCCTGTTGCTGAGCCTCTTGATCGGAGCGTCCGGTCACCTCTGTGAGCTTGTTTCTTCGCAATCTTGCGTACGGCTTGGTTCCTATCTTCGTGCTTAGACTTTGCTTGATATCTTGGGTCTTCTCTTGTGCTTCTAGGGTCTTGCTTATGGTGTTGATCGTCGGATCATCACGTCGCCTTCGTCCAAGTCACGTCTTGCATCCTATTGAACTACAAAACAATCACTTGCAAATTCATTAGTCCAATTTGGTTGTGTTGGTCATCAAACACTAAAATCTAAAGTAAATGGGCCAAGGCTCCATTTTTCTTACAATCTTCCCCTTTTTGGTGATTGATGACAACACGACCAAAACAATCAAATAATAAAAATTGAGAATTTAAAAACTATCTACTTGCTAGGATGCAATGCAAGAGGCAATATTATATGATGATAAAAGATACTACTTGTAAGACTAAAAGATACTACATAAAAACTTATCTTGTCCTTGCAAATGTCCCCATGTGGCATTATGGATTTAAGCCTTGCTTCCTACAAATTCTCCCCATTACATAGGTAATCCATAATCCATCATCCTCCCTTTCAGGACCATTACCACTTGTAAATTATTAATGCTTGCTTCTAGTCCTCTAAATTTTCCCCCTTTGAAATCAAAACACCAAAAAGGAAGACATTAGTAGCACAAGGGAGGGTCAAACTTTGTGATCCTTTGTATGTAGAGTGGAATAGGTCACAAAATTTGACTCTCACATTATATAAATTAAGCTCCCCCTAAATATATGCATACATATGGTAGAAAGCAAAACATATGCATATTTGGTAAATTATTGCTCAAGGGAATTTAATCTATATAATGCATGAAGAAAGCATATAAATATTAAAATGAAATTAACATGATGATATCAGTTTAGAAATACCACATGTGGAAACCAATTTGATTTCTACCACTTGCACTAGGTGGTGGATATTTGAAGTATGATGCTTAACTTCGGGGACTCCATTTTCCTTGTAAAGAGACTACTACACACATGATAAGCTTGTAAATGTGTTAGTCTCAAAGCATCCAACTTGTAGAGTAACCTCCCCCTAAATTTGTGCACACAAGTGTGAGATACTTATAGACGTCATGCACATTGATTTTAGAATCGATAATACCACTTGAAAGATAACATCTCATGAATGTGAGAATCATTTTCGAAGATGATATTCGGGAGAAATTATCTACAATTTAGACTTTGGCACATTAGATGAACAATCAAAAGACAAGCTATGTGTCGTGCTCCTAAACAATTTTAAACCCAGGTTTGCTCCAAGGGTTAAGAATGAAACCGAGCAAGCATACCATAAGATATACCTAGTGTATGCATGACAAAAGATATAAGCATGCAAATGCAAACATAGGTATAAAAAATAACTAGATACTTAAAAGATACCAATTTGTAAGAAATACCAACTGAAAGTAATAACATCTAGTTACCTAACATGGGAAGGGGAATTTGGGTCTATAGTATTCACTAACCCACTTAACAATAATTTTATCCAACATGATGCACCCCATGAAATGCACCCATACTTTGCCAAGTCTCCAAATTTCCCGAAGTCCATTGGACTTCTCACTTCCCTTTTGGGATCCAAACATTTTTGGTGCTCTTCATGTTGGAAATGATTTCCTTTGGTACCCAAAAGCGTTTGACCCCATTGTTGGCTTGCTTGTTCACCTTGATGGCCACCACCTTGTGAATTTTCTTCTTCTTTAACAAGTATGGTGTGGAGGCCTTCTTGTCCACCTTGTTGGTGTAGGTGTTGGAGAACTTGCTTGCTTGCTTCTTCTCTTTCTTCTTTGCTCCTCCCCCATTCTACGTAGCAAACCATGGTTTGTCCTTTATCAAGCTTCTTCACTCCCTTAACGGTGTTATCTTGATGAAGTTGGGTTTGCTTTGCCTTGCCTTTCACTTGAGTCAAATCCTTGGTGAGGCGAGCTACTTCTTGCTTGAGTTGCTCATTCTCCTTTGCAACCTCTTGTGTGCATGTATCTACAACAACTTTCTCAACACAAACTTGGTTGCACAAACATGAGTCTAAATATAAATCATTACAAGAAGTAGAGGCTTCCTTTTTAGACATGTTAAAGATAGAACTTTTCTTTTTAGATGCCTTGGTGGGGGTTGCACTAACGGCTTCAAGATTAGCAACTTTATTAGTTGGCAGCGTATCAGGTGCAAACCAACTAACCTGTGCAAACTTGGAAACTACCAATCAGGACCTCTAGATGCTGATCCAATAGATGGGGTGAGAGGTGGAATTTTTTTGCGCTTAAGCCCCCCACCCGCCGTCCTTTTTTTTGCACTTAAGCCCCCTCACCCCATCCATTAGATCAGCATCAAGTGGTCCTGATTGGTAGTTTCCAAGTTTGCACAGATCGGTTGGTTTGCACATGATATGTTGTCTAGTTAGCTCATCACAATATTTGCACATGGTTTCCATTTTAGCAAGCAAACTTTTATAAGCATCTTGTGACCTAGCTAACTTTTCTTTAAATTTTTCATTTTTCTTTATAAGTTGCTCATCATTGATTGTGCATGCATTTGTTGGTGCACTAGCCTTAAGTTGCTCAATTTTAGTAGATAGTTCAACATTGAGATTAGCAAAGTTCTCATATTGTTCAAGCAAAGTTTTGTATGCTTCTTGTCAACTATTTAGCTTTTCTATTAATTTTTCGAGCTTCTTTTGTTGACTAGTGCAAACTTTAGTATAATTAAGATTTTGTTGCACATTTTCCTCATAAGAAGGCATTTCATCATCACTATCACTCTCACTAGAGGATGAGCATTCGTTACCTTGTGCCATAAGGCACATGCGAGAAGAGCTTGATGATGAGTGCTTGCGCTCTCGCCTCTTGTGATGGTGTTCTACTTCACTTGAAGAGTCATCCCATGACCTTATTGACGTGAAGGCCTGGTTCTTATATGCCTTCTTCTTTGCCTTGGGTGTGGGCTTGTTTGGATAAACTTTCACAAAGTGCCCCAACTCACCGCATCCATAGCATCCTCTCTTTCTTTGCTCAATTCTTTGATTGGTGAAAATGAGATCTTGGATTTGGATGGGCACACCCTTGACATTGAGCCTTTGGATCATCTTCTCCACCTTGTTGATAAGTTTGATTGATTCTTCATCAAGATCGGAGGTGGAGGAGGAAGATTGATCATCATCACTTGATTCTTCTTCTTCGTCATCATCATCATCTTCTTCATCTTCACTTGAGGAGCTTGAGCTTGAGCTTGTCTCAACTTGTTTGCCCTTC